GGGCCGCGAACTCCTCCACGCTCAGCCCGCTCGCCGCGACCCGAGGCACATTCTCAAAGCGAGACCAGCGCGGAGGGATGGCGGCCGTACCGCAGTGCCACGGCGCGTACAGCACGTCCGAGTAGTAGTAGTGTGTGGCCCCGAGCGACGCGGCCGGCGCCGCGGGCAAGCCGCGCCGCCGCCGGTAGGTGCATCGCCAGCCGCCTGGGTCGTAGCGCAGCCACTCGCCCGGCGCCATCTCCTCCTCGAGGCAGCACGCCTTCCAGAGGTCCTCGGAGAGCGCGAGGACTCGCATCGCCCGTGAGGTGCAGGCGCAGCACGCGAGCTCGCGCGCACCGCCGCTGGAGAGGATCTGCATCAGCACCTCGTCCGGCAGCAAAGCCAGAGCACCCAGCGCACCCGGCTCCTCGCGGAGGCTGCGCCGGTCGTCCGCAAAGAGCAGGCTCCCCATCGGGCGCACGCGCAGCGGGTGCGGCACAACCTCGACGCCCTCGGGCGCGAGGGCAGCGCCGCGGCGGGGCTTCGGCATTGTGAAGGAGTCGGCAGCTCAAACAAGCGTGATCTCGCGCGCGCGTAGCCACGTGTGACGCTTCCGCTCGAAGCTAAAAGAAATTCCGAGGCCGGGCGTGCATCCTCCCCTGCGCGTGAGCAGCTTCTGCGTGGGCTGGCATACCTCCTTTTCGGGACATGTGACTATAGCCGAGGTCCACCGAAAAGAAGAACTTCTTTTCGGTTACATCGGTCGGGCTCGTTGCTGGTGCTATGATGGCGGCGGGCCGCGCGGGCCCGCCTCCCCAGGAGCAGCTTCTGGCCCTGCGCGCGTTGCTCATCGAGCATGGGCTCGACACGCTCGCACCCAAGCGGGGTCGCACAGGCTCGCGCGTGCGGCTGCCCCTCCAGCACTTTGACAGCGCCGAGCACGCCCCGGAGGACGACATCGCCGCCGCGCTCAGCCTGGGGTCTGGGCAGCCCAATGCTGCGGTGCTCGTGTCCGAGCCCTCGGGTGGTGAGGACTGGAGGCTGGGACGCGTTCACAGCTACGATGCCAAAGCGCAGACATTCGCGGCTCACCTGCTTGGTTCCGACGCCGTGGTCGACAAGGCGACAGCTGTCTCTGCGCCTCGCCTGGGCGTGTACTGGCTTCACGAGCCCGTGCGCGAGTTTGCAGCCCGGCTCGCCTCGGCCCACGCAGCGCGCGATCGTGCGGAGGCTGAGATCTTGTTCCGGTGCTACGTGCAATCCATGCCCACCACCGGCGTCTACACCCTCTCCGACACGCAAGTCGAGCGACTCCTGGAGCGTGCGGTACCCGCTCACCGCATGCCGGCTGCTGGCAAGGCGCTCTTGCGCTCTGGAGCAGCGGAGGCCCTGGTGTCCGAGGTCCGCCTCGCATACACACACTCAATGAATGCCATGCTGCTGCGGCATTCGATAGTGCGGCCGCCGCTCGGCCTAGGCAATGATACCGACTTCATCCCAGCGCCTCCTCCGCCGCCGCCTGAGATCGGCGTCATTGCCGCCGCCAAGCTGCCCGAGTACCCCCACGCCGTTGCCTCTTTTGCCGCAGTCTCTTCCGCCGCAATGCCAGAGGTGTGTCGTGCCGTCTTCGCCGCTCGGCATGAGTGCCTCCAGTTGGCGCGCCTCTCGCTCTTTGAAGTCGAGGTCTCCCGCACGCGGACACTCATCGAGTACGAGAGTGCACAGGCAAGCCACCTGAAAAAGGTGATGGGTTTCATCACTGGCACGTGGCAGCCAGCCATTCACACAGTGGTGACGGAGGCACTCGGGACCGGCCCTGGTGGTGCCGCATTGTCGGAGCCACCTCCGCCACCGCTGCAGTTGCCCTCGATCGAAGGCGTTGGGCGCGGGCGCGTAGACTCGGCGGCGAATGCTGAGAGGCAGGGCGATTGGGCAGGCTCACGTCCCAGTCCCAGTTCTCGGCAAGACAGGCTGTCGACTCAGGTCAACTTGATGATGTCTGACGCGCTCACGTGCTTTGCGCGCGATTCGCTGCACGCGTACGTCGCCTTCCTCGAAGGTCACGCGGGTCGGCCGGGGGTTCCGGTGCTCGACCCCGCCTATCTTCGGAGCACTCCGCTCCTCAGCGTCGAGCTCCTCGTCGAGGAGGGTGAGGTTGGCTACTCGGTGCCTCCGGAGAAGATGGTGCATGCCTGCCTGCGGCAGCTCGACCTCGGGCTCGAGGCCCTCGCGCCACTGACGGAGCTAAACCTCTTTGGCAGCTTGCTCAGCTCTCAGCTGCGACCGCTGTCGAGCGCAGGCGTCGCCTCGGAGGTTCAGACGATCGACCTTCGCCACCGGCTCGAGACGGCCTTGCGCGCGGCGACGGCACCGATGAGCGAGTACCTCAAGTCGCTCCGTCCGCACGAGGAGGTGCTGCGGCGGGAAGACAGCGCATGCGTCGCCGCCTTTGCGAGTGCCGACGACGGGGAGGAGCAAAGCTTCGATTTGCCTGGGATCGAGGCCAAAGTGCGCGAGCTTCGAACGGCGCAGGCGGCGCTCGACGACGCGCTTCGGCTCTTCATCGAGGGCGCGCGTTGGGACGCGGACGTGCAGCTCTTGCAAGAGTCCGAGGCCAAAGTGCTCTTCACGCAGCTGCCCGTCGTGCACATGCTGCCAGAGCAGCATCGCAAGCCGCCGAGCGAGGGCGTCTACGCGTGCCCCATCTACAAGACGCTAGCGAGGTTCGGCACCCTCTCCACCACCGGGCACTCAACCAACTTTGTGATGGTACTTGACATTCCATGTAGTTTGGACCAGCCGCAGCCGCACTGGGTGAAGCGCGGGGTGGCCGGGCTGCTCTCGCTGAACTTTTGATTATCTAGCCGAGTTTTTGCATGTGTTTTTGTGTGCGGCTCCCGGCATGTGTGTGCGGCCTGCGAATTCTTTTCGTGCCGCCAGAGCCTGACTGAAAACTCCCTCGGCTACAGTTGTAAAGCCGCGCGACGCCGTCATAGACCACAGGTCATAGACTGGGAAGGGGAGGGTCAAGGGGAAGGCTGAGCTTCAAATCGCAAGTCATAGCAGACAGTCAGTGAACATGCTGCTTCGACGGTCCAACCTCGCTCGCAGCCTCGCACCACGGCCATGGCGGCAGATCGTGCCGGCCAAGCGCCGCCTCTCCGCGCTGCCCGACACGCCTCCCGCATCGGACGCGCACGCCAACATCAACGATGACCTCGTGATGAACCGGCGTGACCTCGACTTCATCCTGTACGAGGTTGAAAACGTCGAGGCGCTGTGCCAAACCGAGCGCTACCAACACTGCGACCGGGCAACCTTTGACGCTGCGCTGGACACTGCCCACCAGCTGGCGCACTCACACTTCCACCAGTACAATGCAAAGGGCGACCGCCACCCGCCGCAGTACTGCCAGGAGACGGACACGCTGACGCTACTGCCCGAGCACGTCGCGGCGCACCGCGCCTATTCCGACGCCGGCTTCCTCACCACGTCGATGGACGCCGAGGCTCGCCCTTCGAGATTGCAGATAGCCAAACACACGCAGGGCGGTGTGTTCGAGAGCCCTATACCCGTCCTGCCTCCCTTTCCACGCCCAGGTGGGAGGGTCGCAGATGCCCGTCGCAGTGAGCGGCGCCGTCGGGCTGCACTTTTCGTCCGCAAACGCCGGCTTCTCGGCGCACTTCGCGCTCAACGTCGGCGCTGCAAAGATCCTGCAGCACCACGGCACCGACGAGCAGCGCGCGCACGTGCTCCCGAAGCTGCTCAGCGGCGAGTGGTGCGGCTCGACCCCTCCCTCCGCGAGGGCCGTGAGCGGCCTCCTCACTGCCGGACGGCTCTGGGCCAGGTGCGGTACCATGTGCCTCTCCGAGACGCACGCTGGCTCGTCGCTGACCGACATCCGCACGACGGCGCACCCGCAGCCCGACGGCACGTACAAGATCCGCGGAAACAAGATGTGGATCACCGCCGCGGAAAACAACTTTGGAGGCACCATCGCGCACATGGTGCTCGCCAAGCTGCCTGGCGCCCGCACGAGAGAGCGAGAGAGAGCGCGCGAGGAGAGGAGCGAGAGAGAGAGCGAGGCGAGGAGCGAGGAGAGGAGCGAGGAGAGGAGCGAGGAGAGGAGCGAGGAGAGGAGCGAGAGAGAGAGGAGCGAGGAGAGGCACGTGCACGAGAGGTGCTCCTCCCCCCTCCCGCTCCGTGTGACGCGTGGTGTGACGCGCCGGGCAGGGGCGCCCGCCGGCACCAAGGGCATCTCCCTCTTCCTCGTCCCGAAGCATGCGCTCTCGTTCAGCGAGGAGGGCGTCTCGCTCGGCGACCGGCCGGCGTCTAGCTCGGCGTGGGCGGGAGTTTCGCCGCAGATCAGCTGAGCTGCCCCGAGACTAGGCGAGCGCAACGACGTCCGGCTGGGAGGGCTTAACCATAAGATGGGGCAGACGGCGAGCGTCAACGCGGGCGAGCTGCTGTTTGGCGAGGCGGCGGATAGGACACTCGTGGCACCTTGTGGATGAGACTGCTCGAGATCACCCGACTGTCCGAGGTTAGGCGACGGGTGGCGCCACCGGCCACCTTGTCGGCGAGCCTAACCAGGGGCTGCATTGCATGTTCATCATGATGAACGAGCTCCGCTTCCAAGTCGGGCTCGGCGGCGTGGGCCCCGCCCTCGCGGGCTACCTCTACTCGCTGCAGTACGCGCGGCAGCGCACGCAGGGCCGCTCGCCGCTCTGCCGCGACCCGAGCACGCCAATGGTGCCGATCATCGAGCACTCGGATGTCAAGCGGATGCTGCTGCTGCAAAAGGCGTACGTCGAGGGCGCGCTCGGGCTGTGCATGTACACGGCGGGTGTCATCGACGCGCTGGCCACCACGGCCGACGCCGCGGCGAGGTCGGACAAGCTGCTGCTGCTCGAGCTCCTCACGCCGGTGGTCAAGGCGTGGCCGTCCGAGTGGTGCCTCGAGGCGAACAAGTGGGCGATGCAGGTGTTGGGCGGGTACGGCTACACGCAGGACTTCCCGCTCGAGCAGCTCTACCGCGACGCGCGCCCAAACATGATCTACGAGGGCACGTCCGGCGTGCAGGCCCGCGGCTTGCTTGCAGCGACACCTCCTCGGAGCCTCCCCTCACCCTCTCGGACCCTTCCTGCAGGCCCTCGACCTGCTCGGCCGAAAGGCGTCGATGGGCGGCGGCGCGGCGCTCAAACTGCTCGGCGCCGCCGTCGCCGAGGACGTCGCCGCGGCGCGGGCGGCGGGCGGCGCGCCGCTGGCCGAGGCGGCGGACTCGCTCGAGGCGGCGATGCAGCGGCTGCAAGAGACGACGGCGACGCTGCTCGGCGCGGCGGCGGGCGGGGAGGTGGAGGTCGGGCTGAGCAACTCGCACGCCTACCTCACGATGACGGGCCACACCGCCGTCGCATGGCAGTGGCTGCGGCAGGGCACCGCGGCGCGGCGCGGCCTGCTGCGCCTCGAGGCGGAGGGCGGCGACGCGAGCGCGGACGACGAGGCCTTCTACCGCGGCAAGCTGCACACGATGCAGTGGTTCACCCGGCAGGAGCTCTCGAAGACGGAGGGCATGGCGCAGCTGCTCTGCTCCTTGGACGATACGAACGTGAGCATGCGCGGAAACTGGTTCTGAGGCGTCTCGTGGAAGGACTCGTGAATTGCCCGCGGCCACGCGCGCGGAGATCGGGGAGAAAGGATGCGTGGGGGCCTGGCACGGCACGGAGTCGGCACACACCGGACTAGTCACCAGAGGATGCGTGGGGGCCTGGCACGGCACGGAGTCGGCACACACCGGACTAGTCACACCCGAGAGACACGTTCGTGCACCGCGCAGTCGGTCGTCAGTGCAGTCTCGAGTCTGCAGAGCCAGCAGAGGGCATGTACGTGTACGTATCATTATTTAGCAAACGCGATTATTCTGGCGGTAGCTCGATGATTCGCTGCGGCGACTGCCGGTAGAGAAGGCACGTGTGTCCTATCACTTGCGCAACCTCAGCGTCCAGACGGGTGGCGAGCTCTGTCGCCATCGAACGCGCCTCGGCCTTTTTCTTCGCTGCACCGAGCTTGCAGCGGACCAGCTCGCGCGTGGAGAGCGCATCCTCGATTTCGCCAAGGCTGCCGGCCGCAGGGTCGAGAACCAGCGCCCGCGGAAGCAGCTTCTCGGAAGTGAGCCGGCCGGCATGCGCACGAAGGTATCGCCGCTGAGCGCCGGTGAGCGGCACCGCAAAGGGAGAGAGCGCCGAGAGGCAAAGTAGGGCGAGGGTTGGCATCGAATTTTAACTCGCAGACGCGAGCCCAGCAGGTCTCGAGGACCTTTGGCGCGGCCGGGCGGCTGGCTGTTTTCTTTTCTCCAGATCTGGTGCTAGTCCCCACATACGGTCTCGTCCGTGCCTTGCGGCCGGCGAGATTGCTAGAGGTGGAGCATGCTGCTCTAGCCTCACATGTCACTTCCTGTGGTCTGTTGTTTGTTGTGCTCTTGTTTGTTTCTCTTGGCACCTTGGAGTGCTGGGGGGGGCGACAGGGAGGATATGGCCTTGAGTTATGTGTACGCCAACTCAGGGTGTGTGGCAGCCAGCTGGCTGTGTGTCTTGTGAGCCTTTTGTGTCTGTGTGTCGCTCGTGCGTGTCGTCATCATCTGTCCAGCGTCCACCCATACCGCGTTGGTGTCCAGTCCGAGCCTGGCTGTTCTTCACCTTTCTACCTACCTACCTACTGCTAGTGATCTGTGATCTGTGAGGGTCCGCCCGCAGGCGCATTTTGTATACCGAGGCGGTGCCCGGTGCCGAACCTGTCGGACCTTAAGACAGCATTGTAGATCCCTGGGCGAGGGTGGTGCTGGTGGAGGGGGCGGTCCGTCGGCGCTGGGTGCTTGTTCTGTGCTTCGTCTATCTATTCTTCTACCTTAGCTTCTAGGACTCCTAGTGGTGGCAGGCACAGCAGTTGCTCACATCGGTGCTGCCAGGGACAGCGCAGGTTCCCCCGGCCGCCCAGCTGAACTCAGCCTTGCAGGCCGAAGTGCAGTCCGCGTGGTCGCCGATGCATCCAGAGCAGCCGTGGGCCGTCTGCAGCGTCGGGTACGCTCCCGCCCGCCACTGCTCGACCTGTTTGGTACGCCAGGCCATCTCAAAGAGTTCGCTGTAGTAGCGGCGCATGGTTGTCGGCGACAGCTGGTGGTGGACGCACGCCTGCTGCTCGGCGACGGCCTCCAGGAGCTCGCGGCGCCGCCGAGCGAGCCCCCTCACGCGCCGGAGCACACAGGCGGGGTCCATGCACGTGAGTGCCGGGTGGTTGACTGCCCGGAAGGAGGCGTAGCCACCATATGAGACGGTCGGCACGTTGAGCATGATCGGGTTGGTCACGCGCTCGGCAGGCTTCCCCTCCAGGATGTCCTTTGTGTTTGCGTACCAAGCGTGCCACGCCACGGCCACATCGAGCTGCCCAAAAAAGGCGCACGAGCCTGACTTGCGCGAGGCGCCCGACGCTTTCATGTTGTACGGCTCGCGCAACAGATGCACGTCCGACGCGTTGTGCAGCATATGCACGATCGCGTCGTCAACGGAGCCAACTAGCCCAACGACAATGGTCCCGTTCGGTCCGGTGCCACCTGCGGCAGTCTCGTGGGCTGCCGGTCTTCTTCGCGGGACGCAGTCGAGGTTGAAGTGGTGAGGGATGACGACGCAGAGACGGGTGCTGCACGCGTTGTCCATGTGCGTTTCCGAGTTGAAGATCTCGGCGCTAATCTGGTGGTTGTTGTACGGTGGCCCCGTGTCGATGCGGTCGTATGAGTCGATGCGGTCCACGATGTGAACCTTCGTCTCCCTTTCCCCCACCTTACTGCAGTAAAATTTGCAGTGGACGAAGACATCGAACGAGCTCGCCTGGCTTGCAAACCAGCTATCCCATTTGCTCGACTCACAATGCGCCACCTTTGCAGCCGTGAGCTCAGGCGCGTCAATGCACCGGTGGTCGCTGGAGGGACGCTCATTGGTGGGCACAAACGCGACACGCGGCTGCTCCAGCAGTCTCGCGTACGGGTGCAGCAGAGCCGTTGGATCGTTGTAAATGGGCTGGCCATACACGCGCCACCGGCGCTGCGGCAACGTCCAGTTGTGGCAGTACGCTGGCAGGGGGGACGCGTCTGAATCGGCAAGACTGTTGGCCACCGCGCCGTGAGAGAGGCGGCCAGCTGGTCTTCCTGTGCTTCTCGTGGCGGTGGTGTGCGTGTGAGCGCCGCTGAGGCACAAAGCGAGCAGGAGCAGTGCGCGCAGGTGGTGTGCGACGCATGAGGGGCTGCGTTTGCCTGCCGCACCTCGCATAGCACAGACTGACTGCTGAATGGAAGCGACCTCGAGCGACCGGCACCGACCGGCGGGCGGCCGTTGAAGCCATATTTTTCTTTCAGTGTAGCGGCTTTAAAATGAACTGAAAAGGAAAACAAAGCGGGTGGAGGATCAGCACTTGTCGAAAGTCGGATCCGGTGGAGGATCAGTGAGTTAAAGAAAGAAAGAAAGAAAACAGACAACAAGGGAGGGATGCTCTGGAGGACGGGAACGAGATGATAGCAAGTAGGGAGTAGATAGAAGAAAGCAAAGAGGAGCCCTGCGCACGCACGACTCCGCAGGAGAAGCCCCTCCCCAGACAAAACACAAGGGAGGGATGGGAGGACGGCACGCCGCCACCACAGCACCACACAGGGATTTTAAGGAGAGGGGTGTGGATGCGCTAGCCCTCGCCCACCCTAGGGAAAAGAGAGAAAACAGCCAACCAAAGGGAGGGATGGGAGGACGGCACGCCGCCACCACACAGGGATTTTAAGGAGAGGAGTGTGGTGCTAGCCGTCGCCCACCCTAACCCTTGGTCGTTTGCCTCTTTCTATCTCCCTTCGCAGTCCCTCGCCGAGGCGCCTCGCCGATTCTCGCTGCAACCTTCATGCCACCTCGCGGTCGTCCCACTCTCGTCGTTCTCCCTCCTGTCGCTTCCTCCTCTGTCGCGTCGGCCGTCGCTCTCGTCTGCCTCGTCCTGCGACGCCGCCGCCGCCTAGGGATTTTAAGGAGAAAAAGAAAGAAAGAAAACACACAACCCAAGGGAGGGATGGGAGAACGGCACGCCGCCACCACACAGGGATTTTAAGGAGAGGAGGGTGTGATGCGCTAGCCGTCGCCCACCCTGGGGAGTCTGCCTCCTCGTATCTCTTTTCGCAGTCTCTCGCCGCTTCTCGCTGCAACCTTCATGCCACCTCGCGGCTGTCCCACTCTCGTCGTTCTCTCCCTTGTCACTTCCCCCTCTGTCGCGTCGTTCTCTTCTGCCTCGTCCTGCGACGCCGCCGCCTGCCGGTCCCTTGTTCTCGCGGCTTCTTTCGCCTCTCGGCGCAACTCCGTCCTCCTTGCGGCGTATCCTGGCCCCTCGAGTCTATCGAGCTCCCCTCGCGCAAGGACCACATTTCTGACTCCCACTCCGATCATTTGCCTCCAAGTCATGTTGTTGCTCAGGTCCACTCTCTCTTCGAACACTCGTGCCTCTACGGATGATGCCGGCGCTGGGGTCCCCTTCGGATGCATCGTGACATCTGACAACTGAATTTCCACTGGTTCGTCCTCCTCTGAGTCATCTTCCCCGTCCTCCTTCCGCTCGGCTCTTCGCTCGGTACGTTCGGTGTGGCTCACCCTCCATGCCGTGAACAGGCGCTTTATCCACCCTATATTCTTCTCTCGTTCCTCTGCCCGTGCCTTGGTCTTGTCGTTGTTTCGCACCCATGTCTGTATGGCAATCGAGGCTGCCTTCCCCACTACCTGTAGTTCACTCGTCACCTCTCCCGCGAGCTCCCTTCTCTTTCTTTCGGGTATGGAGTCCATTTTAAGGAGAGGAGAATCTTTTGCCGCCTTGTAAAATGGAAATTTTGGGGAGTCGTCTCAGTCTCACGTGAATTCGTCCCTGTCTCACTCTCAGCGTCTCAGCGGTGTCTCAATAGATCCATCACTCCGTCTCACTTCCGTCTCACTTCCGTCTTTGACTGCCTTCTCGTCCGTCTCAGCGCGGCAGGCTCCCGAGAGTGCCGAGATTGCCCAAGATAACCCGTGCAACCTCATGAGGTGGTCGGGGCAGTGTGGCAGGCGCCCGAGAGTACCCGAGATCGCCCTCGTGATGTGGTCTGATGTGCAGTGGTCACCTCGGGGCATGCGTCGGAGTGCAAGATCGCGACCTCTATCGATCTCCCCTGTATTTGCGCGTATGCGACGAGCGTCGCATCCGACTGATCGCTGCTGGTGGCGTTCGTGCGGATTACATCTCTAGCCGAAGCACGGTGGGCCACGACCTATGCAGAGTTGGGTTCACCGTTGAGCGCATAGGTAGCGTGAGGGCGCGCGACTTTCTTTCT